TCACCTTTACTTTTCATAATATTTATGGACAATATTAATAAAATAGACATAACACCAACAGATGTCGATAAACAGGAGGACTTCAATGAGCTGCTCTTTGCCGACGATCAATGCATATTTCACAGTGATAGTAAACAGCTGCAAGACCACATGAACCTACTACACGACAGTTGCCTCAAGCATCATATGAAGATCAGTACTGAAAAGACAGAAGTCATGAGCATAAGTAGAGAGCAACAGACCATCGACATAAAGATTCTAGATCACAGCCTAAAACAAGTGCAAGAATTTAAATACCTGGGAAGTATCTTTACATCCAATGGTAAAATAGACAGAGAGATTGAAGCAAGAATCCAACAAGCCAACAATGTCGCATACCAGCTTGACCCAATTTTAAAACACCCTGCTGTCCCAGCTGAGATAAAAAGACAAATTATAAATACAATCTTTATACCGACATTAGGTTATCAATGTCAGACTTGGACATTAACAAAAGAACATGAGAGAAGACTAACCACCTGTGCAATGAGATGTTTGAGAATGGCTGCGAATAAAACCAGAAGAGATCGAGTGAGAAACGATGTGATTACAAGAACTATTGGAACCATACCCATCGTTAAATTTATTGAGAAGCAAAGAATGAAATGGTTTGGTCACCTAATGAGAATGGAACCAACGATGCCAGCATCAAGAGCATACAACATGAAAATCGAAACAACAAGAGGCAGGGGAAGACCAAGAAGAAAATGGATTGAAGGAGTCACGGACAACTTGAGACTTCATAACATCACGGCATATGAAGCGACTGAGCGCGCCCTGGCTCGGTTGCCGATCATCTGATAGACTGCGACGCCTAGCGGCACAAGCAGATTTTGACAAAAGAAGAAGAATATCTTGAAGGATTTTAAAAGACGAGGAGTCACCGTGGCGTAGCGGCTAGACGCTGGCCTGAGGATCGGAAGGTCGTGGGCTCGCTTCGTAGCGGAGCCGAACTATTTTTTTTTTAAAATAACCTTGTCTCCCAGGTCGACCCAGCCTTGAGTGGGCACCAGGTGCAGTCATGAGAAGTAACGGCGGCCGGCGTGATGCTGACCACATTACCTATCGTATGCTGTTGGTCTTTAAAATATAGGTGTAGCTCTATATACCAAATACGCCTACATGGCGGGGAAGTGGTCCTTTACTTACTTTACTTTTTAAAAGATGAGAAAATTTACATGTTTTCAGTAATGTTATGTTACCACAGATAAAGTGTTATCTCATTTTCAGTGATGTTCTGTTACCACAGAGACAGTGTTATCTCATTTTCAGTGATGCTCTGTTACCCCAGATAAAGTGTTATCTCATTTTCAGTGATGTTCTGTTACCACAGATAAAGTGTTATCTCATTTTCAGTGACGTTCTGTTACCACAGATACAGTTTTATCTCATTTTCAGTGATGCTCTGTTACCACAGAGACAATGTTATCTCATTTTCAGTGATGCTCTGTTAATACAGATACAGTGTTATCTGATTTTCAGCAGTTTTCTGTTACCACAGATACAGAGTTATCTTTGTGACTCAAACTGTTTGTTTTTCATGGGGAGTTTTGTGTTGTGAGAGACTGTGTCGCTTCTGTAAGCTGCCGTGTTAGATTGTTCCAGTCACATAACAAGATATGTTTCGGAGATTGCGAATTTTGAGTTTATAATGGGTGTAACAGTGAACTTAATATTATTGGTTATGTGTGGCACCCTGGTTTTCGCAGTACAAAAGTTAGAAGATTTAGTATGTTACTAATTAAAAATATTAATTCCCCTTGTGGGTTTTATGACCCCCGTGTGGAGGGGGAGAGAATGCCCAACGTCCTCCTAAGCATGTAAAAAAAGACTGCTAACTGTGTGTATATATATATATATATATATATATATATATATATATATATATATATATATATCCAATGAGGTGGTCTACTTTTCTTGCATACTCTAGTACCTGTTTTAGGATGGGTCGATATTGAAACGTAGTCAGTTAAAAGTTAAAAAGTAATAAAGTAAAGATCCCCTTTCACGCCTTAGGTGCATCGGATATATGGGAAGAGCACCCATATTTTTACAGAGCAATCGGCACTGGATGGGTAATGTGGTCAGCATTACGCCGGTTGTCTTTACTTCCCCAGGAAAGCCATTCCGGTAACCATTTTAGCATGGGTCGACCTGCGACGCCCCGTACCATGATAACAATTCACGCAGCCAGCAGTGGGTTTCGATCGCGGTACGCTGGATTACGAATCGGACTCGCAACTCCTAAGCCACGGATGCCGCTTAGTTTTAAAAAAATATCCAACACAGAATGAAGCCTTTAATGAAACTGTCTCTATTCGTAATGCCGGGGTGCCTGGTTCGATTCCAGCTGCGGGCCATGCGCTTTGCGTTGGTTTCGACAGTGGTATCAGGGGTGCCGACCGTCCAGAGGCAATGGCAAAATACAGGAGGTAAATTTGCATAGAGAAACCACACTAAAGCCAGGGGCTGCTGGGGTTGGTTCTGCAACGTCCTGAAAAGGATACGCAACTAACCTTTTTAATAAAATTAGTCGTCCCTCGTGGGATGCAATTTCTCTGACCTCTCCACGGGTGAAGGTTGACAAGAGCACTGTCGAACCGCAATCAAAATATATTGCTCGTTGGCATCTTTCCGTCTTTCTATATGACAGTGTTATACTGTGCCATGAGGAGGCATGGGAGACACAGCTCACAGTGTTGGCGAGTGTGACTAGTAAAACACGCCCGCGTTAAGAAAAAAGACTTCTACAATTAGAGTATGGGATCTCAGGATCGTTTTTGTCATCATATGCATTTATTGTGTGCTTCTTCTCAGACCTTCAGCTCTTATGCCCTCTACAGTCACCTTTTATTTTACTGTCATTCCCCTCTTGATTTGCGTGCAACACGGTCCTTGGCATTTTCTTTTCACGAACCAACCTCTTACCTGTATCATTCTTGTCCCGCTTGCACACATCTTTATATCTTCAGTGGAGGCTGGCCTCGACATCTTCTACCTATCCCCATCGGTTATTCACTATAAAGGATATACCTAGGAATCAAGCCACATGAATCTTCGTAGACTGGGCATTGAGCAAACTGCTGGAATGCCTGCGCTTTCTAATACTTCAACGCTTTTATCTTGTCTTACCAATTAATATCAGGTATTCTTCTTAGTCGCTAACTGACGGACTGACTTTCTACCCCACCAGGACATCCCACAAGCGATAAACACCCGATGACACAAAGTGCCACCATGCGGATGAGGATCACAATGGAGATGTCCCAGAAATCGCGTTCAGCCTTTAGGCCATATTTATGGCCTGGCTATATTGCGGCCCCTGACAAGAGCCGGAGCAGGGCTTCAAATAACAAAAAATTTCATCCTAAATAGGACTGAAATTTAGTGAGAATTCTTAGTCGCTGTATGTGAAAGCTGTTTTATACACCCCTGCTTCCTCCGATGTTACACCATCAAATTCAAATTCAAATTCTCTTTCTTTGACCACTTTCAGCTAGGTCCGTTCACATTTCTGCTCACTTTCCTTTCAGCTATATTTGTGGTGACGTTTTCTGGTCGCGATCTTATTTGATTCTGGATTGTGTTCAATATTGTCACTTTCTGTTTGTTGTGGTTTCCGCTCTTGCTGTTGTTTTTGTAATCTGGCTGGCCCTGTGCTGCGCTCAAGATGATTGGATGTTGGATCGATTTATTGTGGTTTTCCTTGGCTGTTTGTTGTTTCCGGGGAAAGTAGATTGCCTATCCTAATAAGGACCGGCGGTCGATTGACTTGGGCAGGTACTGATGGCTATACTGCTGAGGTCTGGTATTATTTGGTGATTTTCTCGTATCCTTGTTGTAAAGTACTGCTCCTACATAGGGTTTCGGTAATTTGGCCTTGGTTGTGTCGTATCTGGTATTAGTGTTTGGGGTAACGGTGTCGACCTCGTTTGACTTCAAATTTTGGCTGTCGATTACACCATCAAATTTGATTGTCCCTTTTATACCTATGTGACAGGACTGAACAGTGCTCTGTATAGTAGGCGGGCACCAAATCCTGTTGAGCACGTTGAACAAAACTTCACAACTAACCAAGTCAAATGCCTCCGTAATAGCAATGAAAATGTATTACTAAAAAAGAGACAATGTACATAGCGTTAGATAAAGTATCAAAATTGTTACATGCTGCTGTTCGTTTGAAATTATTTCAGGTTTACCTAATCTGGCACATTCGGTGGTAGCCTAATCGGTAATGTTCAGGTGAAATGTTTACACTAGCGGCCATCTTCTAAACAATTCCATGTCAAAATTGTCATTTCATTTTATTTTTGTCGAAAAGTGTCTGCCATATCAAGACGATCTAGATGCAGATTGTACAACCAAGGACACGACATTGACATTGCGTATAAACTGAGCAAGCGTACAAGCCGACCTCCAGATTTGTAGCCTACAATTTTTTCTTAGGCCAATTCCTGCCCAACGCATTTTATACCCATCCCATGAGTCGACCCTTAGAATTAGTTAGTAAAGTAAAGAAAAGGATCCTTTTCCACGTCTTTAGGTGTATATGGCAGATAGGGCTAGACCTATATTTTTTAGACCAATCAGGACAAGATGAGTGATTTGGTCAGCAGACTGCAGGGACTGCCAGGGACTGCACCCAGTACCCACTAAAGGCTGGGTCGACGTGGGAGTTCATTTTTGAAATCAGTCCGGCTCCGCCAGGGAGCGAACCCACGGCCTTTCGATCCGAAGGCGAGTGTCTAGCCGCTCTGACAAGGCGACTCCTGAAATATACAGTTAGACAGTAGGCAAGATTAAAGTGTGGTTTAGCATTATTTTGTGATTATGTATACATTCATGGAAGTTACATTCGGAAAAAGATTAGATTCCTGTGTCAGTCTGTGACAGCGAAAGATAATTCTATCTGTGGATTACATTCATATCCCTGAGTAAAAATGCATGAATCAAAAGCGATGTTCCGAATAGGCTCATTTGGTGACTTTGATGACATTTATGAAGGATACGACGAAAATGATGTCACCTACTATAATTCTTTTCTCAACGGGCCATATTACGGCTATGGATTTCAGTTTGTTATGGGGAGGAACATTCGCAAAGGTAAATGTTAAAATAATTGTTAGTTCACAATAGTATACTTTTTTTTTTTTAAAATTTGTTTTTGTGAAATTGATATAAGTGGCTTTTCTAATGGTATGATATAACGTAAATCCTTTTGGGCCATTGAATCGTTGCGACTAGATCAGCATGCAAAAGACTCAAACAACGATAAATATGTAAAGGAATAGAAAAAAATATGTCTTTTAACGTGAAGACGTCCATGCTTAAAAACAAAAATGTAGCCACAGAGTCAGGTCATTGACAGGAAGTGACGCAGTGAGGTGTACAGGTGAGATGAGGGTGAACAATTCTGAGTAAGAAAAGTAACGAGACAAATCTTCAGATAAAACTGTGCTAAACACTCCTGATAACTACTCGCAGCGTCATTGTCCTCGGACCATAATGATCCATTTGTTTTTCCGCACTGTTCACTTGCTCCAAAGGGCCGTAAAAACATGTAGATTTTTATACATCAGTTCACCACCAAGTGGTATAGAACCGGCCAATCTATCTGCCTGCTCGTTTACTAACACACTGCATGACCTGGAGAAACATCTAAAGGGCGCCAACTACCCCGAAACTCATGAACTAAGTTACTTCAAAATAAAAATTTTAAAAAAAGTTGGTCGTCACTTTTTTGTCGTAAACACCCTCGACTAGATTAAGAGAATGGGTAGACATTTGATTTAGGTCTTAGTCTTAGTCTTAATCCAATCTTAATCTTAGTCTTAGTCTCAGTCGAGGTTTCAAAGGTCTTAGTCTTAATCCAATCTTAATCTTAGTCTTAGTGTTAGTCTCAGTCGAGGTTTCAACTTCACTAAACTTGGGTTTCCCCATACTTGCTCCGTTCCTGTGCCAGTGTTGGCGGATAAAGCATGGCAGATTGTTAGGCTTCGAAGTTATTTTTGCTTCCAACAGCAGTTTGCTAATGCAGTATCTACGTTTGGTAGGTAATCTACAGTTTCGCTACCAGAGCTACTGACTTTATTGCTTGGTGCAGCCTGGTGAGCAGCGTTTCTCTTGTGGAATGCCTTTCATTTTTTCCAGGTCATCATTCTGCACACAAAAATGATGCTTGAATGTGTTCGCCAGACGTAACTCCATTTTACCGATGGACCTTATACAACGTCTTTTGCAGATGACGGCATATTCATCTGCATTTCTGGAACATTTTCTGACTCTGAAGCATACATTGACGAATTATGTCCTCCCTTTTTTAAGGTCTTGAACCCACGATTTAATTGTTCTAATGACTGTGTTCGCACCGTTACCTCTTTCAAGACGAAAGTATTATACTGTGATATAGGGAAGGCATGCGAATTACAGACTATAATACTAAGTTCAGTTAAGTTCCTCTCTTTCTAAGCATGAAGGATGATCCCTCTCTCCACCTGCTCTGTTTGCCACAAAGAAGAAAAGTAACCAGTACGTTGGGGGGGGGGGGGGGGGGGGTTGGAGTATGCTGCCATATCAGAATTTTGCCTATTCACCTCTTGAAGCTGTCTGCTTGAACCAGTTGCCAGCCAAGGCTAAGGTCCTGATCTACTTTGCAGTAGCATTCAGTTTTCCGGGTGCATTGTTTTTACTTAAGAAGAGAATTCATTCTGTCATCTTTCTCTGTGGGTGTGTCTGTGTGTGTGTGTGTGTGTGCGTGCGTGCGAGTGTGTGTGTGCGCGCGAGTGTGTGCGTGTGTATGTGCTGTGTGTCGTTGAACCCCATCAGGACGATACAACATGCGACCTGTACACGGTGACACATAGTGCCACTATTCGGATGGAGATACACGGGCACAAGTCCTAGAAACTCCGTTCAACCGTTAGATTATATCAGGGCCCACGACTACAGTCGGGGTTGGGCTTTAAAAGTAGTGAAAAATTGGGTCCAACATTGGCGAAGGAAACGGTGTTTTCACCCATGTAACTCAGTCTAATTTACATATGATCGAAGCATATCAGTACTTGTCACATACCGCTTGTGTCGCCTGCCTGTTTTACGGATTTCTCCTTAAGAACCAACAGCACTCTGAAACAGAACAATGTTGAGGTGTCGGCTTGTATTGGTCTAAAGGGTATCCCGTGGCCAATATACACCCAACCTATTTCAGGAGTAGGGCAACTAAAGCTATGGCACTACTGAATAGATATGATGGACTATATACCCACCGGACGGGTCTATATTTGAAATGTGGCCTGCCCGCTAGGGAAGTTAACGTCACGAATAGTCGAATATGTTGGGGTGGGTTTGATAACGTCATGACACTTGTGAACCGTTAGTGTGGGCGTGAAATTGGCTGTGGACGACAGACATAAACAGCAACAAATGGATGGGCTCAAGGCTAGGTGTGCCGCTTTATCTAGACTACAACAAACAACGTAAGGCGTCAACAGTTTAGAAGGTAAAGTAGATACAATCCAGCTGTGCCATTTTTTTGTGTATTGAATACAACGGTAAAGTGAGAAAGAAGTCCAGACATGATACAAGAGTGTGTACCAAACATGTGCCAAACGAAACACTAAACAGAATATCTAAAAAGATTGATAGTGTTAAAGGTATTGATTCCCGCTGATAGACGGCAAGAAGGAATAAAATAGATATTAAAACATACAGTACTTAATCAATCCACTGCGTGTTTACACTGCTGCCGTGATATTCTCTTCTAAATACTTTTTGTTTTTCCACAGATCTTTTACAGTAACCTGTGCTTTAAAATGTGTGTGGGTGTGTGTGTGTGTGTGTTTGTTATCTTCTTCAGTTTCGTCTTCGTTATCGTCTCTTCGTATTTGTCCTCATCTTCTTCTTCTGCTTAGCGCTCACCAGCTGTAAACCCCGGTGAAAGGTTCTGGGTATTCGTCCACTTCTAAAGTTTGATCTTGTTCCATAATTTGAGTTTTGTTTGAAGATCCAGTTTTTACATTTGGACTACTTTTATACAGACTATTGATTCCTCACGTCTTAGGCAGATGCTCTCAACTTTGAAAGAGATAGCCCTAATTAATCACGCTTTACCACATGCTTGTAAGGGGGCAGGGGGGTCTTTGCTCCTCGCCCCCACACCCCCCCCCCCTCTCTGCCCAATGGGACCCTGAAACATTATGTGATGATTAATATACAAAAACAAGCGGTTAACCCTAGCTGCCTTTGTGTCTGAATGTGTAGTAGTAGTAGTAGTAGTAGTATAGTAGTAGTAGTAGTAGTAGTAGTAGTAGTAGTAGTAGTATAGTAGTAATAGTAGTAGTAGATTTTACCCCACTAGGACATCACATAAGCGATAAACACCCGATGACACAAAGTGCCACCATGTGGATGAGGATCACCCTTGAAGAGGTCCCGGAAACCGCGTTTAGCCATTAGACCATATTTATGGTCGGGCTATATTGCGGCCCTTGGCAAGAGCCAGGGTGGGCCTTCGAAATAACGAAAAATAACATCCCACAAGGAGATTACTAGATTAAGTAGGAATGTGTAAAAACATGACCCTTTTTATATTACCCTGGAAAGAACAGAATAGTCGACCAAGAATTCAAATTCATTACTTTCTTTAATACAATATTGTTTCAAAAAGAAAATTACAATGGGTTGCGCTGTTCTAAAATCTGTTAAAGTACAAGAAATTAGTATGCTTATCATTGCGATGTCTTGTTTGATTTGTTAATTGTGGATTTCAACCTCAGCAGCCATTCTACCGTTGTAATTGTTTTACTGCAATGCTGACCTTCCATTTCTATTATATGGGATAGTTGCGTATCCTTTACAGGACGTTGCAGAACCAACCACAACAGCCCCTGGCTGTTGTCTGATTTTTCTAGGCAAATTTACATCCAGTAGTTTGCCATTGATAACTGGACGGTCGGCTTTCTTGATACCACTGTCGAAACCAACGCAAGGCGCATGGCCCACAGCTGGGATCTAATCCGGCATCCCGGCATTACGAAGCGTTCGCATCGACTTAGCCACAGAGCCGACATGGGTGCCCTAAGAGCCTATAATGATCTGAATATTTTGGTCACTTGAGAAGTCTTGAGAAGTTTAGAGAGAACAATAATAGAGGGGTATATGCCTAGGAATAGAGGAAGAGGAAAGCCAAAGAGAAGATGAGTGCAGGGTGTGGTGGATGATCTCCAGATGGGTGTATCGGACGCGGGACATCTTGCTTGTGATCGAGAAGTGTGCCGGAAGGTTGTTATGGGAGCAAAGTTCTGCAAAGGACATGCTACTGACTGGCTGACAGCACCTATAGGCTTCTTTAAGGGGTGGGGGATAAAGAGCCTCAAGTGGCCAGAGCTCCCACAAGCCCTGACCTTATTGGGTATTTGTTCATTTTGACTGTTCGCACATCTTGTGCGTTTGCTTCTTATACATACATATACATTTTTCTATATTATCAACCAGCCCACATTCTTCACCTTCTTCTTCAGCACTCCGAGCACTTAAGGCTTATTGATATAGATATCACCCGCCTCCATTGGCCTCTCTATTTGGCCTTTTCTTTCCACTTGGTGATACCATGTGTTTATAGGTACACTCTCCGCCGACCAAGTGTAAAATTATATAAACGACCATTTTCTACGCTAGAGGCAGATCGGGAAGATGATGCTAGTCATATTTTTACATACGATCGGCACTTTATGTGTGACGGGATCAATATCACACCGGCCATTTTTACTTTGAGGACACTTCCCCTACCAGAGCTCTTTTGTTTTCTGGCGGTATGCAACGTTCTGCAGTCAGGATACCTTTTTAAAGTATCATTTTGTTTTGTTCCGCGCTACTGTAACAGACACTTTCTGGTGAGTACTGGCATTTCTTTGTAGACACTCTCTGGTTACCGGCATCTCATTTCGTCCTAATGGTACCCATTTAAGGCTGGGTCGACCTCAGATCCAAGACAAATTATAGAGAAGAAACTCAGTGGTGAAGGTAAAGGTGAGCGGATCGACTTCACTGTAATGGTTTTGTCCAATATGACTCAGTCTCTCTCGATAGAAAGCTAGCTGCCTGCCGAAAGCGTCGCACAGAGCAATACATCCGTAGCTCCTGTGACGATCTATAGGGATCTCCGAAAAAACTGCACTTGGGAATGGAACGGCGCCGCCGTAAAACGAACCCACGACTTTCAGAGTGCGAGCGGATGAGAACCCAAGACTTTCGGGTCGACAGGTGAGCGTATGGCCATGCGCTACCGCTGCTTCATGTCTAATATTTATTTACCCCAATATCCCCCAATATCTGCTGCTTACAGACAGAGCTAGCATCATGAAATCGTCAACGTGTCTAAAGCTGTTTATTATTCTTCCGTTGACGTTACCTTGAAGATTTTCTACGGCTTTCTTGAAGACTGATATTTTTGTGCAAACTGATAACATATGGTAAAGCATACCCTACTTTCACGAGGCTTGTTTCATCTGCCCACGTGATACAAGCTAATACAGTTATAATTTGTCTATTGTACAACATAGGCTACCCTACTTTCCCTGCGGCGCGGTTTATCTGTACATGTGATACAAGCTAATGAAAGTATAATTTGCCTACGGTACAACATACTCTACTTTTATACTTCCATTCTGACTTCCTGTATTGGTCTGTTTAAATGATTGCATTTGTTCAAATTTATTGACTTATTGTCAAGATAATCAAACTAATTATTTTTTCCCCTCTCATTTACCCTGATCCACCCCCATGCAGCTCACTGATGAAGAGCGAGTGTTCCTCAACGCTGCCTACCTGGGCGATGTGGGCATCGTACGTCAGTCCCTTGAGGACTCAGCAGAAAGCTCCCTCAATGTTAACTGCGTAGATTACATGGGCAGGAACGCCCTACACCTCGCCATAGACTCAGAAAAGCTGGACGTCATAGAGATTCTTTTGGACAACCTCAGCTTCAACTGCATCGAGGAAGCATTGTTGCACGCAATCTCCAAGGGCGCCACCAAAATTGTCAAAATCATCATCGAACACCCGAACTTCATGGCTGGAGAAGACAAATTAAGACGTATGGGTGGTGGAGACGCCTTTTTCAGACTTGAGGAGAAAAGTCAGTTTCCACCGGATATTACGCCTCTGATACTTGCAGCTCATTACAACAATCATGAGATTATCCAGATGTTCTTGTCCAGAAACCATACCATCGAAAAACCACACCCCATCTCCTGCAAGTGCCAAGATTGTGTAACGAAGCAGAACTATGACTCTTTAAAAAGGTCTCGGTCGCGGTTGAACGCGTACCGGGCTCTAGCCAGTCCTGCCTACATGGCCTTGTCCAGCCCGGACCCAATCATGACGACGTTTGAGCTCAGGCAGGAGATGATGAAGCTTGCAGAAGTGGAGAAAGAATTTAAGGTGAGTAAAAAAATGGTCACACTGTCCAGATTATAATAAGGGGTTTTGTGTAAGTTTATGTGTTTGCATGTTTGTGTGTGAGCGAAAGTGAGAGAGATGTGTGTGTGTGTGTGTCTGACAGAGAGAGAGAGAGAGAGACAGAGACAGAGACAGAGAGACAGAGAGATGCAAAGAGTGTGTGTATGTTAATCTGTGTGTTAATTAAATACAAAAATAATGTGCGGGGGAGTGCCAAAGTTAGAAGGCACTTCTTCCTCTTTCACTTCTTTCTTCTTCTTCTCTTCCACCTTGTACCTCATCGAAGTGTCGTGGGGAGATGTAATTGACGTTGATGAGCTCTGTCAAGAGCACTATTAGGACTGATGTTCATTTCTGTAAGGCTGTTCTTAATGCCATCACTCCATGTTTTCCGAGGTCTTCCACTCGCTCTATACCTGTTGTAACGTACATTATGTAAATCTGTATTGCTTTTCAAACCGTACGACGCTATATCGTGGCTGAAAGCATATTGAAGAGGCCACAAACAAATCAAGTCGTCTAAAATGACCCCCTTTGTGGGTTCTGAGGATTGCTTTGGGTGGGGAAAGGGGGGGGGGGGGGTGTGGCAGCGCTTAAGAATATACATACTGCCTCCATAAAACGGATGGCGTAAAAAAAAAGCGACGAATTATGGCGTTGTTTTTTTTTTTTTTTTCTTGTTTCAGTCTAAGCGCATCTACCTGAGAGGTTGCCCGGCTCTCTAGCGGAGTTGGCTAAACCGGATTGCACGGTAACCGGGTGACGAACTCCTTGTGGTCCGGGTTCACTCCCGGTGGTAGGCAGAAACGCCACATTTCTCCCAGATTTACGGTATTTACAATGGAATCAAGGCTGAAAGGTTGCGATATCCATAATACCTAGCCTAAGGGTTAACAACTCATGGCTTCTGGATACTAAAACAAACAAACAACAAACATGAGAGGTTAGGAACCAACAGTCTGCTAAACGTAAGCCAGATATGATAAATAGATGTGCACACAAAACTCAAGTTCTTGGAAAAAGGCCAAAAGTCCAGGACTGGACAAACAACCAGACCCCCCTCCCAACCCCCCCCCCCCCCCCCCCCACCCGGATTTTATCGTCAGTGGAGGCTCACAAGACGACAAACCACGGTATATTAAGATTGTGAAACAGCTTTAATAATCCATAGCAACAATAACAAAACATAAACTTAGGGAAATGAAACCACCCATTTCCCTTCTAGCAACATCAACATGCAGAGAATATTCTAATTTTTCTTGTCATTGCGACAACCCCACAGTGTTGTTTATCACCGAAGCTCTCACGCGTTACTGTTTGTTGCTCCTTATTTACGACTATGACAAAGATATTGTGCTTTCTTTGTTCTGTGTATGTCTCTCTAATACGCTAAAATCCCAAGAGATCATTGCTAAATTCTCAGTCTCTCTTAACAAGAGTAGATTTCCACAAATTTACGTGCATTCCCCCTATTGTATAACACTGTATTCCTTCATTTTATTTTTCAAATCTGGATCTAACTGATTAAATTTCCTTCAGTTTTTGTCTTCTTTTCTATTATCCATTCTCTTTCCCTGCGCTTATTCTCTGTTTACAAAATCCTGTGTAATTTAGTTTCATATTTTAGAAAGTGCTATGAGTTTCTGCTGTTAGCAATGACCTGGCGGCGTTTAAGCACTGCACTTGGTCACATGCCATCAAGTGATATTGTAACTTACCATCGTCAGCTTGTTCAAATGAATCAGGGGACGACGAAAATAACGTAGACATATTAACTAATAAGAATGTTGGTGTTTTTACCCACCTCAAGGCTTTTATAAGTGATTTCAAAGACAGTAGTTTAGAATCGGAGACTGTCAACCCAGAGGAATCTTCTCCCAGTTTGAATAAAGCAGTCGCACCTGTCAAATGTGAACCCAACGGAAAGGGGTAAAGTCAGGATTATCCCCTGTCAGATGAGCACAGCAGCGTGTCTATGTTAGCCTCCGGATGATCTGTTACTTCTGATACAGAGCATCATGAAGATCCCACGAGAGCAGCAAGCAGATCTTCAAAGAGGAAGCTGCTGTGGGTAAAAACGATTGTCCAAGTACTAACTCGACAGACGAAGAGATTAAGAAAGAAGTTCCCGACGAAAGCTTGCTTGTCATCTCATATCCGGAAATACGTCCATCGAAAATGCACTAGATGTTGTTTCTGACTCGAGTGATTGGAGTCATAGGATTATACTAAAATGTTTCCAATTGAATCAAGTCCTGGAGGGTACTCTGCACTGTGTAGTAAATGCTCAGGAAGCAGCAAGGATGGACAAGTGTCTACCCTATAAATTTCTGAAGAAAACAGCTCTAATGGTGGAGATTCTTGGGTTATTATAACCATCTAATTCTTAACGATCTATACTCATGTGTACCAAACAACATAACACGCGCAAACCCCATTGCATGTTTGTACCAAGTAAAGCATATGATACGGCCTGCCTATATCCCCAATTTATAGTTAGTTTTTCAACAGACAACATATAGGCTTCCAGAAATCTATGTTTTACGCTGTCACTTTTGGTGGAATCAGTAGCGGCTATTGTATTTTATAGTAACTGTTAAAAACTATTCGAGGTTTCAAATTGTTTTTTTTTTAAAGGCAACAACAACAAAAGCCAAATAGACACTCTGATTATATATCTATGCTCACGAAACAAACTTGTAGTTATACAATTCAACAATCTGAATTTAAAAGTTGTGCATTAATAAAATGTCAGCAGTACTTAAAAAAAAAAATGCCACACAACATTGCAGATATCGATAATCTATTTCAAGCGAAAGAAAGAAGAATATATTTCTTTCAAGATATTTTCATTACTCTTTTTTATCTGTCCAGTGTTATCATCACTGGACTATAACATATAGAAATAAATAGATAGGGAGCCTCTGAGGCAATAGAAACTGCATGAAAAAAAAATTTTTTCGTCATTGGGCAATGGCACCTGCCAGAGACCACAACGTTTTCAGGGTGTTGAGTTGATTTTGAGTCAAACTAATCTTGTTCGCACAGCGAAGTTTCATCGGCATTTGGAGACGACCGGATGTGGTCTTTGTATGATCTACAGCTTTCAACTTTTATGTTGTCTACTGCCTCCTCCTTCTAATAATAGAAGGCATGGTGTTAGAAAGGAGGCACAGGACCCGACCATCACAAAGATGGACACAGGATACAGGTGACTCCTTGGGTTGAAAGTACACGAAACTGGAGAGCTGGCGGAGACAAAGTTTCTTTCAGGCAAACTCTGATGAGAGCGACGTTCTGAAAATATCCTGCCACATGATAATGATGGCTGCCTCATCGAATATCTACATCTTTCTTTGGGGTTGATAAAAATATGTTAATTTGTTCCTTATTAGTCTGCAATATCATAATAACACACTTCTGACACTAAAACATACTTTTTCACTATTAGACTAACTGGCTATGATTCTCCTCCTTTCATCTGAGCTGACACGTTAGAGCCCTTAGGACCTCGCTTAGCCGGAAGCTTGGAGATAATCAGCAGTATCCGAATGGCCTTGGGTGACAGTCTAGTGTGTTGTGTGGTCACACAGACTGTTCACAATCCTACGCGCGTTAAACGATCTTTCTCTATTCCTTTATTGCAGTTGACAGTTGCAAATATGTTGTAATTCATCCAGTTTGGTTTCCACTGCCTATCAGCCTGTTTTATTTTGTTCTTCTGCTACCATCAAATGTAAAGTGTTTTACTCTATATTTATGGGAGAACTTGTATTATTGAGATTTTTGTCTGTCGTTAAACACTTAGAAAAGTCCTGATTTTGGTGCCACCCGGCAGTCAAGGCAGACGGGCTGTGACACATACTAGCTAGCGACCTGAGCGGTGCAGACACATTATAGTAGTAATTATCGATTTTTATCCCACTAGGGCATCACACAAGTGATAAACACCAGATGACACAGAGTGCCACCATGTGGATGAGGATCACCTTGGAGAAGTCCCAGAAACCGCGTTCAGCAATAAGACCATAATTATTCTCGTGGTATATTGCGGCCCCTGGAAAGAGCCAGGGTGGGGCTTCAAATAACGAAAAATTGCATCTCACAAGGATATGACTGGATTATATAACAGACACATTGTGAATATTAGCGCTTGCATTAGCAAACAACGCATGCTGAGTGACTGGGTTTTACTCATTTGCACTAGTTCACCTTATGTGTATCTTTTTTTAACATATCATTAGTCAGGAAATACTTAAGTTCCAACAGCACATAAATCTCCTACAAAGAGTTTGTATTAAGGCCCTGTGGATGTATACACCCATAATGTTGCTGCTTTCATTAGTGCCTCAATCAGATATTAGCTACTACCTTCCGGGGTTGAAAGAGTTAACTGTCTTACATCCTTCACCATTTATTATGTAAGGACATGAAGACTCAGAAAGACATGACTGGACATTTGAGATAAAGAACAGTGGGTCCAAGCAGAACAACTGGCTGTCTAAAAAGAAGAGGAGTTGGAGGTCGATGTAAACGGGTTTGAAAAAGATTACTAACAAAAGATTCAGCAAAAAATCTGTATGTTGAAAAAGAAACAATGAGATTTCAATCAAGAGCGTTGGTGGTAAAAGAAGTAGAATAAAATGCTAACCAGAAGGATCTGAAGTGACGGAATAAAAATTAGAGGGCCAAAAAGTTTTGTAATTCAACAAAACTGGTTGAAATTTAAAGAAGAATTGTATACCTAAGTATTTAGAAGAAAGATTTGAGTGTAAGAAGAAGACTTGGGAGTCCACTTATTAAGGATTAAAACTGTAGTAAGTTAAATGAAGTTTAGGAAGAATACCCGAAAGTCTTAAAAAAATACTGGAATTCTAAAATTTAGGATTGAATCTTTAAATATAAAGATCGAGCCTCTGAAAAGAGGAGTGGGGGAGGTTGGGGAGTCTAAAATTAGTGATCTGTACTCTAAGAGGAAAAAA